AAAAGTAAAAAAAAAAATAGATTAAGACAAAGAAACAAATATACTACAAGAGAATTTCCTTCTCAAAACTAAATTCAAATTTGAGTTTGAAACAATTTAAATCTGATTTAATTACCAACACTCTAAGTAAGGTATGTTGTCGTATTATTCGATTAAATTTCGAGGTACGTAGGTAATTAACAAATTTTGAAGGTTAAATAATGAATACTCAAAGAATTGACACATTGAGATAAAATATGGCCACAGGAGTCACATTGCATGGCGATGTCACAGACTATATCCTAACACATCATATTGTCATGTATGCCAAGTGTCCCCCACGTACAATTAATATTCAATGTATATGAAATCTTATTATATAAAATATGATGTGCATAATAAAAATGTGACACATAGATAAAATTGTAATTTACCAGATTGTGACACGTATTTAATATTGATCGGATGATAACATGTGTTAAAAATAGATTTAATAAAGAAAAGTAAAACAAAAATTAAAAAATAAACAAAATTATTGTAAAGTAACTAACCAAATAGTAAAAAAAAAATTTTTTTTGTTGTTCAAACTAATGGAAAAAAAAATATTCTAATAGTTCATACGATTAAAAAAATCTAATAGTTTAAACTAATTATCAAATTCAATTAAGAAAGAAAATAAAGAAAGAGTGTAAACCCTAAAAAAATTAGAGAGAACAAAAAATCATGTAAAAAAATATTATCAACGAGAGTTTGACATTTATACAAAATTATAATTCACCATATCATAACATGAGTTCAATATTGATTAGATGAAAACATGTGTTCAAACTTAAAATTAATTAAAAAAACAAAACTAAAAATAGAAAATAAACAAAATAATTGTCAAAAAAACTAATTAAATAGTAAAAAAAAAATTCAAATAATCCCAATTAGTTAGGAAAAATAACTAAAAGAATATAAACAAATTATAAAAAGAAAATTAAGAAAGAAAATAGAGAGAGTATAAGCAATAAAAGGGAATATAAATTTAAATTATAAAACAAATATGAATGATAAAACAAAATTTTTTTTATAAATTGATAAACAATAGATTAAAAATAAGTGTACTACATACCACATACAAAATAAATCTAGAAAATTTTCAAAAAATACCATTTTTCAAGTGCCATTTTACAAAAATACCACACTTTTGAAATCTTTACAAAAATGCTACTTTTTCAAAATTATTTTTTCTTTATATCATTTATTTTTGGGTTAATTATGTTCTACTAGGGTTTAGTTATGAGGGTTTAGGGAGTTTTTGGGGTCAAAACATTTTTTAGGGTTTAGAATTTTAAGATATAGGCTTTATAAATCTATAATTAGT